CATCTAGGTGACTTATAGGTCATGGTACTTTGATATCCATTGATATTTCTGACACTATTCTTCAACCTACTGCTAACTCTAACTCTAACACCAAATTTAACCCTAAATCTAACCTTAACCCTACACCTTAAACGTCATAACCCTACCTAAAAGTATAGATTTGCGGAAAAAGTACCTAGTAAGTAAGTAGACTACTGTGTCTACCCTCACCAGGTTCAAAAATACAGGCATGATTTGATTTGGAATGACATTTCATAACACTCCTTGTATCTGATTGGTCAACTTGAAGATCAACTTTTGAAAGACCTTGACTTTGGCTATGAAACTTTAACTTCGCCAGCAGCTTTTAGTCAACACTTACTAATCTTCACAGTATTAGTTCAAATCTGATTGAAGGATACACTTCTAGGGTTTTTAGTTGTCAGTGTGACTTTATCATTGAAAGCTTATTACTGGCAAGTGGATTATCCCTTTTATTCTCTCCGACTCACTATTCTTGCATAATACAGGACTGATTAGATGAATCATGTAAGTCAATTTTCAGCCCGAACAAATCACCGAGTTAAGAAGAAAATCATTGGTCACTGAATGAAAAATTCAATTTCCTAATTGTGGTGGACTGGATTATGCGTCAGACAGTGGGAAACGAGAAGACAGGGATATCCTGGACCGACATGAAGAACCTAGAAGATCTGGATTTCGCGCGTGGATGATTTATGTTTGATGTCACACAAAATCGAAGACTTACAAGCGAAAACCGACAAACTGGTCGAAGAAGCAGCAAAGACAGGACTCCAGGTGAACATAGACAAGACGGAGGTTATGAAAATAACCAACCAACAACAACAACAACAGCAGCAGCAACATCCACCGCCAATCACCATCAACGGGAGGGATTTGAAAGAGGTTACTTCATTCACTTATCTAGGGAGCATTGTCTCAACTACACGAGGAACCGACGAGGATGTCAAATCGAGCGAGAATCGGGAAGGCAAGAAACACATTCATCATCAACCTGAAACCAATCTGGAAATCTTCCGCTGTCACTCAACTCAGCATCAACAACAAAATTCGGATTTTCAATACAAACGTCAAGTCAGTCAGTTCTTCTATACGGATGGATCAGAAACTTGGCCAGTGTGTCACAAAGAATCTTTCCAACAGCCTATTGCAGACCTTTATCAACAACTGTCTTCGCTCTATACTGAAGATCAGATGGCCGGAAAGAATCACCAACAAGAAACTATGGGAACAAACAAAACAGGAACCAATCGCTCAACAAATATGCAGGAGAAAGTGGAGATGGATTGGACACTCACTGGCTGAGGAGGCCGTTGGGTGACATCGCGCGTCAGGCCAAAGCTCGAGTGGAACCCGAAAGGAAAGCGACGAGTGGGACGTGCAAGGGTGACATGGAGGAGATTGTGTGAAGAGGAGTTGAAATAGTATGGAATAACATGGATGCAGGTGAAAAGTACAGTAGAAGACAGAAGCAAGTGGAGACGTGTAGCTGAAGCCCTATGTTCGACTAGGAACCCAAGGGAACAATAATAATAATAGTATATTATAAATCTACTACTTGTGTAACTAAAATATCATTGAAGAGTAAACAGACTGATGGACTGACGAAAATACACTGGAAGATTTGAACTTCCCAGATGATTTGTGTCTAGTGTCAAACAAACTCGAAGATGAACAGGTGGAAACCAAACCAACAAGTTGGCAGAAAACAGAGGCAGTGAAGACACAACTTCAAATAAACATGGAGCAGACAGAGGGGGTGAAAATACCTAACCAACGAAAACTACCGTAAACCGGAGAAATCTAAAGTAAATCACCTCTTTCGTTTATCTAGGGAGCATAGTTTCGACTTCAGGCGACAGAACGGATGATGATGTCAAAGGCAGAATTGGGAACGCAAGGGCAGACCTTCAGTAATCTGGAATCAGTGTGGAAGTTTACTGCACTTACCACAAGGAACAAGATTCGGATTTTCAACACTATGGTCAAGTCAAGTGCTTCTATATACTTGAGAGACTTAGCACATGCGTCACCGAAACCATTTCTAACAAGCTTCAGACTTCTGTCAATAGCTGCGTTGGTTGGCTTCATACTGAAGATCAGATGACCAAAACAGAAATACAACAAGCAGTTCTGACAACGAAACAATCAACAGCCTATTGCTCAATAAATACGCAGAAGTAAGTGGAGTTAGATTGGACACAAGGTGAGGAGACATCGCGTGAATGGAAGGCGACGATTTGGGCGTTCGAAGGTGACAAGGAGAAGGAAATGAGCTTATGACTGATCATGGAACCAGATGAGGGTGACTGTAGAGGACAGAGTGAACTGGAGATGTGTTGCTGAAGCCCACTCGGAATAATCACGATTTCATAAAACCGATTCTCTTTATTAGTTTGAATAAAGAAATAAACGAACATATTTGCAGGATAATACGAGCTCGTTTCATTTCGTGCATTCTCTTCAACTACGTGCATCCTAAGCAAAATAAGTAGTCACAATAAGTCTTCACAGACTATTATGTGTATCAATAAACTATCCCTGTCAGAATTTTAATTGTACAAATATTGATTATGTATACACTAATCAGATAAACAGCCAATCCGATACCACCACGTTGTTAGACGCCCATAACTTGGACTAGGTTTCTGCATGATTAGTCTCGATGTCCCTTTTTTGTATTATTATTATTATTATTACATATTTGCAATTACATCGAGGTTCACTCACTCCTCTGGAAACACACTTCTCAATATTAATAATGAGTGAGTTTTCTTGAAATAACCAATTCGAGTGAGGTAAAATCTACTGGGAAATTGTAAAGCCTTCATTGTAGTTGACTTCTTTATTCATGTGAAGATTCAGTGATCATAGTACAGCCTTAAATACGCATCCAAACACTGAGCTTTACACCTAGAAATGATTGATTTATTGAACCGAAATTCTCTATTATAAAAAAAAGAGGAATTCATTTAATTTTGTAAATTAACTCTTCAATTCTCTTTGGCTACCTGTTCATTTTTTACAATATTTTCTCACTGCTTTCATGGACTGAGTTGAAATTTAACTAGAATTACACCGATCGATTGAACTAACAGACTATGCATTTATTTTGACGAATTGATATCAGTTAGAGAACCATTGAAAACCAGCATGGAGTACTGGACAGGTGTTTCATCCTAGTTTGGGAACCATCATCAGTAGGCACCCAAACTAGAATGAAACTGCTGTCCAGTACTCCATGCTGGTTTTCAATGGTTCTCTAACTGATATCAATCCGTGATCAACTCGTCAAAACATAACTAACCCTTACAAACCAACTATTGAAGACAATGTATTGTCAGAATATATTGTTATTATATATTATGCAGAAAACACTATGAAACTTGTAACACATATACACATCTTTTAAATTCAAAAACTCATATACTTGGAACAGGTATACGGCTATGAACGGTATAATTATTGTGTGAAGGCTTATGATACTGTAACTAATATGACCAGACTGTTTCGTAAGTGCAGCGGGTCTGAACCGATTCCTAGTATACTGATAAGGAGTAAAGTGGTTCAGTGTGTTGACCATTTCACTTATATTGGAAATTACATCGGCTCAAATAGACTGATTGATGACGAAATCTCGGCACGAACACAAAAGGCTCGTGTGATACAGACAATGTGTTCTAATGGCCTATTATTCTCACAGTTCAATACTACATTATTATTATTTATTATTGTTTCCTTTAATTCATAGAGGAACACAGGGCTTCAACCGCACGTCAACGTTTTCACCTGGCTCCACGTGCTTTCATCTCCTCTTCACATGACCTCCTCCTTGTCACCTTCGCACTGACGACCGACTCGCCACTTCCCGTTCGGGTTCCACCCGAGCGATGGTATGGAGTGTGATGTCACTTGGTGGTTTTCTCAGAGTCTGGCCAATCCACCTCCATTTCTTCCTGCGTTAGCAACATAATACTATACATATTTGAACATTCTATTTCATATCGTTTAATGTAAGCCAAAATCACACGCTCAATGATTGCTTAGAGAATATGAAACTGTATGTATATAAATAGACGTTTGATCACTTAAACATATACTTTGGCTTCCGTGTCTTACCTTCTGTTGTTATAATATTCATCAACTTACATCATCTCTGATAAAGACATGATATCTGTGTATTGAAAAAAGCACGTGTGTACTGCACAGCTATTCCACACTGTTCTGACTATGAAGACAAGGTCATTGAACGTGGAAGATATGAAAAGACTAGTTGTTCTTGACTAGAGACGTCTGAGTCCTATCTCTCGTGTTAAATGGTATAACATGAGGAGAAATATTGAGGCTAAGAGCATAGAGTGTTGAGTAACAGGGAGGGGAGGTTAAAAATGAAGTTGTGAAGCTATATCGGGCTGAGATGGCCAGAGTCATCGCCTATCCTCATAAGCGATGATGTTAGCTGACACAGAATCAAGTTAGAACTAGTCAAATCTAAACATGTAGTCAATCCATGAAGTCACTAACTGTTGGTTTGAGGTATCCCCTTAGGCGATTGGGGGGGGGAAGTGGCGTAGAATGCCTTGCTGCGGTCCCCAAGATGCTGTGAACCAACAGCTTGAGAATGTTGGTAATATATGATTGTTCAAGACTGTTCGCAATAGAGTAGATGCACTCACCTTTTGTAATCTCTCAGATCCACTGAACCCTCTCATTACAGTTCTGTGGAATCTGTCTTTTCTTTATCTGCTTGCGCTATAGGGAGCGTGACAAAATGAACTCTAGGGCACTTCTGTGCAAAGTTCTATACTGAAACCCAATGAGTCAGGTACATGAGGGGTTCGAACTCAGGACGCATTAGAGTAAGTACACATGTGCACATGCATACACTTTGAAAAAGGTAGCAGCACAAATTAATTATTGATCGACAATTAATTTTATTATTATCATTATTATTTTCTTTCTTAATGTTAAATAATATTGTGTATAAACAAAATGTGCATAAGAGTATATAATAATACGAGAGATAAGAAAAGATTGACTGACACATCAATACATATGTATTTATATATATATATATATATATATATATATATATATATATATATATATATAGTGTAACATGAAAAACAAACTGTATACCACCGATGAAGGGGAAGGTGTAAACACCACGGAAAGAGAGAGAGAGACAAAGGAGGGAGGGGAGAGAGAAGTAAATTTATCAAAAATTTGTAGTCAACGCCTCAAATTGTTATGGTAATGTTAGAAGTAATCGTAACGATAATAATAGTAATAATAATAATAATAACAACTATAATAATAGTTCTATATTTTCTGACAATTATATATATATGGATAAATATTCAAAAATCACTGTACACAATAAATACAAGAATGCATGTATATATGATTAAAAGAAAAAAGACAGTTGAAGAGGAAGCGAAGAGTGCGAAGCACAAATACGTCTAACGATTTGCATTTATATTCAGTATATTCATTGCTGAATATTTATCATATTTTAAGAAGCAATAATTGAAACAGGCAAAAAGAGTTACAATAGGCGGTGTAGTTTACGTAATGAACATGTTACAAAAACACTTAGACGCAAACATACACAATCAACTATACAAAAAGAGTAAAACATACAAACAAACAAACACGCACACATACAAACTCTCCAAAGTAAACATATATGTATGCATATGGATATTTTAGAATGAGTTAAACTGAGAAAATAATAATAATAATAGTAGTAATGATAATAATAACTGGAGTGATAAAAATAGTGAAACAGACAAACGCATAACCGTCGGTCAACCAGCACAGAACAGAGCTGTCATCTTGAAGCAGAGACTAAGACGACAGCAGCAGTAGCAACAACAACAAGAATAAAGAATACTACAAGTCGACGTTTTTAGTCGACGATTTCAAGTGTGAGAGAATTTCATTTTTTCCCTTTTGACAAAAAAGGTAAGTACACAAAGAAAGAATACATATATTAACACCTTAAACGAAGGTAAAGGAGAGGAGAAACCACCGGACCAGATAAACAAAACAGTTTGAAAAAATATTAGTAAAAAAAAAAGAGGATGAGAGGTACATATATGATAACTGCTCAGGTGGTGGTAGTGACTCGTCTTTCATCATCATCAAGATGAAGGAAGTGAACAAACGGGCGGAGAGAAATTGACACAGCAAAGACAAGAGAAGAAAGAAAGAAAGAGACTTATAAGAACTATTTAACAATAAAATACACACCATAGATAGACTCACGCACGCACGCACAAACAAACAAACAAAAATGCTTCAAATATTAAATATGAGGTTGTCATGGTAGGTGTGTGTGTGTATGTATAAAGGATTAAACTATTCAAATGCATAATTCTTTTGAATTTTCCGTCGTTCACTCTCCTCTTACAGCTTTTTTATAATAAGCATTACACACCTGTGTAGGATTACAAGGGAAGGCAATTTTCAATTATCCCTCTAATTCTTTCTGATATAATTCATCACACAAGAAATATATATATGTATATATGCATAATATGGAGAAGAATGTTTCTCGTCATAATGCACAGTTGTCAAGCCGTCAAGATAGTTTAATAATACAACACATAGAGGAGTTGAGGCGAAAGAAACTCTCCTCTGTTATATTTCTCCTTTTTTTTTTGTAATACGACAACACATACAATGATGAGAATGATCAATTCTCACAATTTTGATCCAAATATCCACCAATTTTCTGACAAATATACTCAAATGCTGGTCTTTTACTGGAATCCTTAAAATGAGGAAGAAAATTGAATAATAATAACAATAATTAGTACTATAAGAGGAATAGAGAGGGTAATGAGAATAATTCCACTTAATAAAATAAACAGACTTGGGATTTGGACAAAAACCAACACTTATATGTTGTATGTGTCACTTATTCCGATATATTTGGAGACAATCAATGGGGCAATTTTATAATCAATATATGTACGGGATAATGTGAATAGAGTCGCAATTTTGTCGATGGAGGATAACTTAAACAGCTAAGGTGGGAGTTTTTAGGTATGTTGGGATGGATAATTATTATTGATGAAGTCATCAGGGAAACAAAGATGTTTGGGCAAAAATTCAACTAGGAAAAAGATATTATTTTGAAAAGATGATAAGTTATGTATTTATCATACATACCTTAGGGATAGACAATTTATGAACTTAGTTAAGTTATGTATATTTTTTATTTCTTTATGTTCCGAGTGGAACAGAGGATGGCTTCAAGCTAGAGCTTTGAAGTTTCAGTAGCAGTGGTGTTTATTTTTACGGGATATAGTTGCTAGCCTCATGCCCAACCTTCCCTCTTTACCAGTTTTATCACTGGTATTACTGGCTTAGCGAAGTGAAGGAGTACGTCGGCCGGGGATCGAACCCCGGACCAAATGCGTGATTGGTGATCATTTTACCGCTGTGTCACCAACGCACACCACTCACATCAAACGGTAGTGCTTGCTAACCAGACCGAAGTGATCTAAGGACTGACTGGACGGCTGTTTCACTCGCTTGGAGCCAAGCTCATCAACGGTGTACTCACTCGGTTTGACGCAGCTCAGACAAGTGAATCTGTGGTGAAATATCACCTCGAACTATGTAATTTGCGAATGTGATTGATAGTCTTACCAGTCCGCCCAAATAGCTTAGCCAGAAATCAGGTCGTTTCAACCGATTCGGCTCCCTGAGATGACTCAGACCAGGCACACTACTGATAAGCCCGATCGTAAACTAGCGAAACAGCGATCCAGTTTTTATCAGATCACTTCGATCTGGCTGGTTACCAAACCCTACTGGTTGCTATAAGATATAAGGGCTATAAAGTTATTTATCTCAATCAATCAGAAGTATATAGTGTGGCATGTGCTACTGATAAGATTTATCAGTAGTATATGAACAGACGTTCATCGACATAAAAGCATTAAATAGAAGGGAGATAGATTTGACGTCAGAGAAAGCAAGCGATATAGCGTTGCGGAGATACACGGGAGACGTGAAATGAACAGCAAGAAACACAATATGAAGGACAGAAGTAGCCCAGAACGGAAGATCTGTGAAAATGGTGCGTTAAAGATAAGGTGTACATAATTTCGCTGTATAGCGATACCAAATTCCAAATACACATTCCTTTATCAAGTTTCTCGTCTTCTCCCGTTACAATAGTGTTGCAGAAAGAGATTTGGATGAAAAGGGAAGGCCATATGGCTATAATTCGACCACACAAGGGGGTTAATCATAATAATCATTGCAAAATCCAGTGATCTATCTATTTTGGAGTCTATCGCTTAAAATAATGGAAGTGTCCCATTTGACAATAATCGATAGTGAATGTATATTTATTTAGTAATTTGAGATCTATACACAATAAAATTTCATCAGCTTCTGAGATTTTATTTCATGGCAGGTTGTTAGGTAATGAGTAATTGGGCAAATTTTCAGAATATTTTAAAATTTGAAATTTAGTCACACTAATTTACATGTAGTTGGAAACTACCTTTAAAGATATCGTTATTTTCTTCTTCAAAAGTTTATTCTTTCATTCCTTTGCGTTGTGGATGGAGAGTAGGGCATCAAGCTTTCAACTCTTATTTGTGGCAGTGTTTTTTTTTTCAAAGAATAGGGTTGCTAGCCTCACAGCCAACCTTCCCTCTTTCCCAGGGTTACTATCGCGGTTAGGGGACTGATGAGATCAATCCTGGGTATGCATCATCTGGGACCTGATGCATGACTGACTGGCAATTCATTCTATCACTGGATTAACAACGTACACAAGTCTTTATTCAGAATGCATTTTAGAGTTGGACAGATAAATAAATAAACATTGAATTTGTGGTATGTTTTAGAAAAGGTATTTATGTGATCAATAATGGACAAAACATAATTGCTTCATTAGGCAATAGTTTATGTCTTTTTCTTGAGAAAAACTTTGTTTACACAGATGTTTACACATAGTAATTTATTAGTCCTAGATACTGTTTCATATTTTCACGTCTTTCAACATCAGAGACTACTAGTGAATAGAAAAACTGAATCAATATGAATATACTGACGACTAACTTTTCTACTAATATTCACAGTTCAGTGATTGAAACTATGGGCTAAATACACACACTAAATCTAGTAGTGCTCTGAGGAAACATACAAATTGTGTAACACAAATAAATGGTTTAAATCAATATTTTCTATAGTTTGGTTTGTAAGGGTTAGTTATGTTATTACGAGTTGATCACGGATTGATATCAGTTAGAGAACCATTGAAAACCAGCAATGGAATACTGGACAGCTGTTTCGTCCATCCTAGTTTGGGGATCATCGCCAGTACGTACCCACTGCCAGGGTTCGAACCCAGGACCTTCCGCTTACAAGGCGAGCTAGTAAACCATTCAGCCACTGGGACCCAATTCAATGGCTCATGAATTCTAACTTCTACCAATTCGTGATTTAGCGCAACCCTAACCATTGTCGTTAGTGGGACATCCATCCACACACATGACATCTAATTGGACCTCACTGGTCACGACTTCTCACTAGAACTCCAGGAAACTCCATCCTGAAGCAAGTCACTAGAGAGCACCAGCTTAATTTTCTATAGTTTGGTTTGTAAGGGACGATCCTGGGTTCGAATCCCAGTGGGTGCGTAATACTGATGATCCCTAAACTAGGATGAAACAGCTGTCCAGTACTCCCTGGTTTTTAATGGTTCTCTAACTGATATCAGTCCGTGATCAGCTCGTTAAATCAATATTTATTTAACGAATAAATCTTTAATTTCAAAAGATTTTATGCAAATCTAAAAAAGTGTTAGACTTTACTCCTGCCGAGTTGAAAGAAACAAAGAGGACAGTGACTCGCCAATGACACCGGCTGGCGACGGTTTGGGCTATACATCGCGAATCGGCAGAAGTCAGAATTTATGGGCCATCGGATCAGGTTCAAGAGGTTGGTAACCAGAAGTTCCTCGACTTGAACCCTGGTGAGTTCAAACTGATGAAGAGTCCCAAAATGGGACGAAACAACTGTCCGGTACCCCATGGTTTTCCAGTGGTTCTCCAACTGATACCATAACGTGACCAAACCATTAATAAAGACCCCAAGTCAGACAGTTTCACTTTCATACATAGGCTATGACTATCATTTAATGGGATAAAGCGATGACGCTGTATCTATTAATAATAATACTGACAATATTGTCAATGTATATAATGTAAATTAATATAAAAGAAATAAAGAAACCAAGAAAGAATACAAGAAAGCAGTATACGTATGTGTAACTTACATGTTGCCAACATTCAAGCATTAGAACATAGATTCTTTCAGGACATACAGCTGGTTTATGTAATCGACCACCGCCAACAATATACTGATAAACTTGTGTATTATTCATACCTTGATAAGGATTTTCTGAACAACATGTGAACACCTCCCACATAAGTACACCTAGATTAGAATTTTCAATACAACAAAAACACGCTTAATCAATGGTAATTAAGATTAGATTAGAAAAATAATGTCGTCTAGAGAAAAATGTACATTCAAAAGACTTTTATTAAGTGGGAAGAATCGTGAGCAGAGAAATTTCAACAATAATAATCTTAGATTAAACACTTTTTGAAAATAAAAGTAAGAATTAAATGGGCAACCTGTTGTGGATTACACAATAAAAAAAGGTGAGAATTGTTCAACTGCTTCCTATTTTAGAGACTACAAATGGTGTTAAGACTGTTGACAGCTTAGGAGCTGTAAAGTATATACTGCCATCAATCAGCTAAAATCATTCGCTAATTACATATATAGACGACTGACTGGTTTCAGAAAAAGAACTCTGCACAGATATGTAACAATTCGAGTCGCCACACTCCACGTAGCACACAAAGGAAGACGAAAGAGATTCAAAAGAACAATAAATAAGCAGAAATGTCAGGGAGGAAGATTACCACCCTGGGGAAAAAACAATAGGGTTTAATGGATATAGGAGGTCACAGGGAGTGAATGCATCTGCACCAGTCATTGGTTCTTAGAATTCCGAGGACCCCAATCAGGGAGCCTACATCCTTCTCTACATAGCTCAAACTGACTGAAAGATTTCATGGAGTGATTTCAAGTTTTGGTTTGACCACAACTTGCTCTTTTCCAAATTGATACCATGGCAACTAACATTACTTGTCGAGGAAGCCGATGGTTAGGATATGCGTTATGTATGCCTCAATCAACGTAACTTCACAGCATCAACAATTGACTTCCCTTTCTTGTCTAACTCTCTATGGCTAACCATAATATTACTCAATCTATTATACCATGTAACAGAAGAGACAGAACGCAAACACCTATGGCCTTTTCATATATCTTCCACTTTCAATGGCTATATCTCACAGGCATAAATGAGGGCGGATTGAACTGGTGAACACTACACACACTTCCTTTCATCGATTGCCAGATAACACGTATACGCCAGAGAGATGTGGATGGCAGAAGTTGGTAAATCATGAAACAACAATCAAAGAGAAAGTATATTTATTCGTCTGCCTCAATTATGGGCCCTCATTGATGAATAGTTTCCAACTAGGATGAAGCAGTTATCCAGTGTTGTTTGTTGGCTTTCAATAATCCTTCTACCAAATAAAAAAGCATCTTTTTCTAGAAAATAAAACCCCACTTCCATTACTCTTCCTAGTCTGTATCTCTCTCTCATGTTTACTACAAAATGTGTAAGACAGTTGATTTATTTTTAATAAACGAGAGACAACACAGTGATAAATAAAAACTAAGCTCGGGTACACACACACACACACACGGACACGAACACAGATGTGTTAAACACGTTTGCATACGCATACACTTGTATGTTTACAGTATCACACGCACATACACACACACACAAACTATTGAAATATGGGAAGAAGCAATTCATTACACTTCGAAATAAAAGGAAATAAAAGAAAGTAACCAAGTGAAGCGAATGTGAAATGGAAACAATGACGACAGCAGTACACAACGATAACAACGACAACAGAACACGATATCATGGGAATGTATAAATGTATATATGGAGAGAGGGGATCAAGAGTAGAGGTGGAGCACAGAGATGAGGTAACGTGAATATGAATGTCTTTTGGTCAAATTTTCACTAATCATAATAATCATTGCACAGTTGTGATGATGAATACGGGTGAAAATGATATTTTTCCTTTCAATAAATGTACTGATATATATCACAGGTGGCATAGATACAAACACATATATATGTACATTTGACATTTATATGATAGTACGCATCTCTACACACACATACACATAAATGATGGTTGTTTAGATGTGCATTGGACTCTCAAACACACACACACACATAAAGTCACAATGATGACTACTGACTATGTCGTGGGAAAAACTGTTGCTTTCTATCAGAATTACATATTTTTTTTTAGAGAAAAACAAAACAGGTGATAAATAGAAAGAAAACACACCCAGCTAATCAATAAATAAATGGACCTAAAAACGATGAATATACACACATACATGTAAGCCTAATGTATGTGATAGAAAAGTAAATAAACTGGTAAATGAGGCAGTGAATACCACTGGAAATAAATTCAAAAAGAAATAAAAGATAACCACCTATGATCATCTGTGTCTCTTTCTACTTTCTCTCTGTTTCTCCCTTACGCACACAAACACAGTTTGGTAATTATATATACTAAATAATCAACAAGAAACCATATATATATATATATATATATATATATATATATATATATATATATATATATATAACGTGATTGTAGTCACTATCCTCTCTTACAGTAAATAGATATCATGTGTGAAGCTGTTAGCGCTTATTGATCTAGGGCGTTAGGCTCCCAGCCAGTGGGGTAACGGGTTCAACTCACACTCCACGCAATGTTTTTTTTTATTTTATTTTTATTTTTGATTTACAGCTTGATTCCACACCGTATTTTCAGTACAAGTGTGGAATTTTCAGAATGGATATCGGTAGCCCAAATTCAGGCCGACCATAGATATCGGGTGTGCGCCGGCAGGGGATCGAACCCCGGACCATGTTCATGGTCGGCGAGAGTCCTAACCACTGTGCCACCGACGCAACCAAGGACAACATATAACTAGTCTTCAGACAATAGTTGTGGGACATATAGGCAGCCGTATGGAATTACAAGTAATTGTTGAATTATGCTTGCTTAAATCGTGAAATATTAATGAACATTCATTCAGACTAGAGACCAACTCTATTTGAAAGTTAGAAATGCCAATTAGTTTATTATACATACATGTTGACATCAAGTTATCAACTCCAAAACGCAAAAACTAGACAGCATATTATTAACCAATGAGATTTTAAGGGATTTTGAAACATAAAGGAAAACAGCAAGATTCAAATAAAAGAAATTGAGTGAAAAGGAATAGCACGCTGCTTCAGAGCTTATTAACAACTAGATATTTAATTAACATTAAAATTTGAGATGCGTTCATTTTTGTCCAATGAAGATACAAGTAGGGAACATGGATACTTAAGTATATATGCATATCTTTTCACATAAGTGTATTTAAATAAAACACATAGGGAATGGTAGTCATATTTAGCATAGGAATTTCCAAACAAAACATCATCTAGATAATTATGGCAGGATCACTACAGTAAGATGGATACCCATCAACCTGAAATCAGTGTGCACATCTGCTGTATTCAGCATAAGGAACAAGATTCAACGCTAATGCAAAGTCAGTGTATCCGCGTTACGAAACATATTTCAAACAGACTGCAGACTTTCATCAACAGCTGCCTTCACTCTATAATAAAGGTTAGAAAGAAAGAAACAGAGATGGATGAGACATACTCTGAGGAGACCGTTCAGTGATATCGTATGCCAGTTTGTTAGGTGGAAAACCGAATGGGTAGCGATGAGTTGAGCGCTGCTCAATGATGATGTGCAGGAGGTAGTGTGATGAGAAAATGAAAGCTTATGGGTAATCGTGGAGACAACTAAAACAAAAAGGCTTAAGAGAACAGAGTGAAATGCGAATGTGGTGCTGAAGCTCAGTGTAATAAATAATACCACAATGGATGTGTACGGTAACGAATATGATTAGAATGCTGAAGATGATGAGGAGTGAGTGAATCTGCGCCAACGTCAAGGAATTTTGAGTGATTTCATCAACGGTATTCAATAGCTGATGTTTCACATCTTGAGGACTTCAGACAGGCGATCTACACCACTTAGCATGGCTTTGACTAACAGTCAATGACTTCATAAGCAGCTCATGTCATGTCTTATTTTAACTCAGAACTCAGTTATCCGAAACAGATTTATTATCCTCTACGCAATAGGCCACACTTATTTTGTAAGAACTAGTGATATTACATGGCTGCGCAAACTTTGGTAGGCGGAAAGGGACTCGAACCCCAGAACCACCGGTTAGAAGCCGGGTGTTTATGCCAGTGAGCCACAGTTTCACGGTTGATGACACCACTCAGCTATCCAGGTTGAAGTAAGTGATTTGGGATTTGAACTCGAAATCTGTGAGCTCGAAGTCGTGAAATAATAGACTTGTAGCTTAGAATGTGAATGGACTGCACTGACTTTATATTAGGATTGAATTTTGTTCTTTATGATGAGTACAGCAGATGTGCACACTGATTTCAGGCTGATAGGTATCCGTTTTGCTGTAGCAACCCTGCCAACAGTGATAGCTTATCCTTTACGTTCATACAGATTATTGGTTTTGTAGAGAAAGTAATTCGAAATTCAGTTCCTTATTACTTCTGCCGTTGAGTCTCCATTGAATTCCACATTCGCATAGAGAAATTTTTATGGACAGAAAGTGTGTATGCGTGGTTGTGGTGGTGTAGACTTCATGAACTTAATGATGAGGAGACTACAGTAGCCATTTCTAGTGACAAATCCTTCCTAGAGTGTTCAGTTCCTCTTTCATGGTGTCAGGACTGAGAGTGTTGAGGATGAAGTTTCGTTTTGTAATGTAAAGGTACCCAAATATGGAAGTTACCGAGATGTCTGTTCCATATCGACTTACTACGAGTAGATTTTTCCCCACAGATAAAGCATGTGTGTGTGTCGGTGTGCCTAAAAACGGTCCAACTAGCAAATATAATTTTCGCTTTTAATATCTAAGACAATCAGATCGTATTGTCTTCACTAACACCATTGTGCCTATAATGTATACAATCATAATGTGGTTCAAAAAAAAAATCAATAGCGAATGTTCTACAATGCCTTCTAAAAATGTTGGAAGGCTTTTTTATTCCTTTTTGTAATCTATTTGAAAAAACTATTATCCCTTAAAGGAAATATACGAAATACGATGAGTAGATGTTATTTATACATTTTTAATAAAAAAACATTTCTACGTAGTACTTACCAAAACTCCATACATCAGCTTTAGCTGTATAAGTGGATTGAAATACTTCAGGTGGTGCCCAACGAACAGGGAATTTTGTTCCAGCGCTTGGTTCATAAACATTATCCAATAAGAAACGTGCCATACCAAAATCAGCTACTTTTACATGGACAGAATTTTGACTAATTGACTTGACTAGACAATTTCTTGCAGCTAAATCTCTATGGACAAATTGTTCTTGTTCCAGATACGCCATACCATTGGCTACTTGAGCACAAATATCAGACATAACAACTGGACGATTACAGAACTGTTGTTGACGTTGTCGCATAAAATCACGTAAAGAACCTAAAGATATATATTCAAAAAAAAGAGAAAAGATTGTTACCTCATAGACTTAGGAATTGATGATATAAATATGAAAGTTTATAAGGAAATTTCATTATGGAATCACTTAAGCCACATTTTTCTTATCCTTCACGTTCCCAGTGGAACATAGGGCCTCAAGCTAGTGGCTTGAAGTTTCTGTAGCAGTGTTTATTTTTTTTTACAGGATGGGTTTTCTAGCCTCATGCCCAACCTTTACTCTTTACCAGCATTATTTCTAGCTTAGCGAGGTAAAGGAGTGCGTCGGCCGGGGATCGAATCCCGGACCATGTGGATGGTCGGCGGGCGTCCTAACCGCTATGACACCGACGCACCACATAATTTTTGAAAATCAAGGAGAACTAGGTTTCATTCCACCCCACCCATTCCCCTCTAGTTTGTAATTCTTCAGCCATTCGTAAACAAAATGTGGAAAACACTAGACGATGGTTCAAACTTCTGAGTTACTAAAAATCGAAGTACAGAATCAGATTTACTGTTTTACTCTGTTGTTTTAATTAATCTAATTATGTTTTTTACATCATATTAAATACCTACATCTTCCAATCTACTAACTATGCATTTGGCTAATTGTGAATGAAGGAGACATAATCACAATGAGTAGTAGTGCACTGTAAAGGCAAAAAAAATACATCAAAGGACTCTACACGAGAATAATCTGTTTGCACTAGATGTTATTGCAAAAATAAAGTCTGTATACAATAACTCAAGTTTTGGCTTGCAGGGAATTCGTTGATTGCAAGACTGATCATGCATGCACTGACTTCGGTGAGAAAACCAGCAAGCAGTACTGAATGAATAACTGTTTTGTCCTAGTTTGGGATTTTCATAAGTATGCACCCATCCATGCGTGCATCTACTCCGACAAAGATAGAACCTGAGCCATTCAGGTAATAAGGCGAGCTCATTGGCAATTCAGTCACTGAGACGAAATCCAATGGTTAGACGGTTCTAACTTCTGCCAATTGAAGTCAGTTCTTGATCAATTTTGAAATCAACGACACTTGACTGAACTCGTTTCCTGTAGGAGGAGAATATCTTCCTAACCGTGCTACCATTCACACATTAGTGAATCCATTGTTATTAACAACTTTATCATTAAGTGGCAGTTTGTAGGAAGCCATAAACCTGACTTTCGCGTTTATTGGTACTTATTACAGCAGAGCGCATATGTAACCTAAAGGGAAAAAATATACCCTCGAGAATCCAAACCCACCTCTTTTATTGCTGAAGTCAGAAGCATTACTATTGGAGCTACTCGGGTCCAACAAGTGATCTCCTATGGCCCTGTAATGTTTATTCACTAGAGTATAACCAGAGTCTAATCGATGTTTAGTTTAGTTGGAATGGAGTAAAAACAGCATTACCATTTTAAGTTCAAAAGTTTCAATATTGACAGTAAATTATCACAATGTGCATAACTTTCAATTCACTGATAACCAGAGAGAGAGAGATGCTGAACTTGACTTCTTTTTCGTGAAATGTAAAAATAACGGTTTAGGTTTTTTCCTGGTTCCATAAAGCCTATTATTCACAGTTTTATTTATAGATTAACTTTATTTCGAAACAGAAGACAACAAATCCTGTGAACAGACTCCTTTCAGTGATTTCATTCACTACAGGATCCAGAAGCGAAACTTTACACGATTTGTTTCAAAATTGTGTGTGTGTGCCTAGTAGGTTTGTGATTAAAACAGATGGCAACACTAGTAGGATGAATGCAGTCATTATAGATAGGTAGTTGCGTAATGAGACAGAATGCCAAAACGAGTGTATTGTAATAATTAAAATGAGCCCAAAAAGCCCAGAACAGATGATACTACAAAATAAAACGAAATCATCTGGGAGAAGGACTAACGAGTTTCTTACAGCATTATTATTCGTCCCCTGTATTTCGGGTGAAATATAGGGCCTCAGCAGCACATCGCTACTTTACTCATTTTTCTGCAGTTCTAAACAGCTGTCTACAAAATTGTTCCCACAAACATTCCTATCCTCTTTACAAGATTTCCACTGTGTCATTTACAGTTGCTTCCCGCTTGGTTGCACCCAAGCAACTGACGTGCGATGTCTCCTATGTTGAGTGCTGTAGATCCACACACACACAGGTTTCAGAATAATGAAAACAATTTTTTCAAGGATATTTAATGGGAAAATATAGAGATGGGAATAAGAGGAAGAAAGATAGAACGATTGAACAAGTTTTTTTTCTTCTCGCTATAATATAAACCTACAATTTCCCTGTTTCATAAGCTAAAGCTTCAGTAGTAATAAAAACGAGATGAATCAACATTGATTTCACGGTATTATTTAGCAATTATTTCAATATATAGTTGAATCAATTCACTACTCTTGACCTGTATGACTTACAAATTATATTTTTATCCTTAAAAAAAGAGGTATTACAGTCCCTGCTTTTGATAATCTATATAATTTAATAAATTTATTTTATTTATTCATCACCTACCTATAACATCTCAAAGAATTGACCACTTGAAACAGAAATTATCTGTGTGTGTGTTTTATTATATACAAAGAAGAATGGAGAAAAAGTGTTACCTAGGTGAAGGTTAATTTAAAGTGTTACAGGTGTTTATTTATTTTCCTTTTGCCAAAAACAATTTTGTTGCTTATACTCATTATATATTAACAACTAACTAATTGTATTACCTTACCTACTTATTAAGAGGAAGAATAGAATCGATAATTAACCTACGACAAATGGCTGTGAGACCTGGCCATTGAGAGCGGAAGACATGAAAAGACTAGCTGTCTTCGATCATAGGTGTCTGCGTTCTATCTCCCGTGTGAAGTGGTATAATAAGGTGAGCAATACTGAGGTTAGGCATCGAGTGCTAGGTAAGGAGGGGAAATCAGTCGACGAAACTGTGAAATTACATCGACTGAGATGTTTAGGACATGTGTTACGTATGCCTAGTCATCGCCTTCCTCGACGGGCAATGTTAGCTGACATTAGGTCAGGTTGGAAAAGAGCTAGCGGCGGTCAAACCAAAACATGGCACCAGTCAATGAAATCTACAACAGTTAGTTTAAGCCAGCCATGTAGGAAGGTGTAGACTTCCTGGTTGGGGTCCTCGGGACGGTAAAAACTAATGGCTGGAAACAATCGGTGATACGGCTCAAAATCGTTCTCAATGAATAGCGCAGATGCATCCACTCCTTGTGACTCATGATTTCCAATGAAACTATATTGTTCTTCGTTATTACTATTCCTTTGTCTCTCACCTCTGTTTACTGTTTATATTATGCATTTCTCCAACTTTCTTTTCTTGCTTTGTGTGCTACATGGTGTGGCGGCTGCACATCGGTGCAAAGTTCTATGTCGAATACAAACAAACAGACAGACTACAACAAATACTCCTCTATAAATACATCCACCTGCACACGCATACTGATCTTCACAAAGTCTCTATTCTATTTCCATTTGACAGTAATTATCAATGTTTATATGATTACTGGCAACTAAAAAGGTCAAATGCATTTGGACTGAGGATTGCAGGTACATCCAGTTGACGAGTCCCAAGTACAAATAGGATGCGCATCCTGGATTCTACTGCAAATCACCATTCGAAAAATTAACACTATGTCAGTCCGCAGATATTGTCGAAGCGTCCGTACTAGGAGCTGACATGTCAGCAGAGATTGAACACATTTTGTTTCAGTTTATTATCTCTCTCTTTTAAACCTCTCTTCTCCTGCTTTGTGTGCTACATGGAATGTGGCAACGTGAAGTGCTGCACTTCTGTGCAAAGTTCTATGTTGAAACCAGTTAGTCTAGTCAATGGACTGGGAGAATGAAATTAACTCAAACAAATGAACATTCTACTCCTGTTCACTGCTGTTTCGAGACTTAACACCTTGAAATAGCACACTTCAGTTCATAGTCTATTGACAATTCATCTATCTTTTTCGTAAAGAACTTTCTGTATTTACCTCGAGTAAATATTTACAGTGTATAGGGGAGGTGGCATGAAATTTGACGACTTGAAAAACCAGTATAGTCATAATACATCTTCAAGTATTTCAAATAGCATCAATATTAGCTATTTTGTCAGTAAATTGTACTACTGAATATCAAAAGCGTATTACATGAGCACGTATAAATTTATGCTGATTACTTTAATGGCGCTATACAGCCTTATGCTTACACTGCAGGCCTGGCAGCTAGAATTTTTGCAATGCAGAGAATTCAACGCAAACACAAACAATTTGATCACTATTCACAAATTGATTTCATATGATGCAGTCTAATTGTATAGTACAAACAGGTGTACTAGGCTGTATGTACGCACCTTACTCAAAAACTATCTGTATTCACATGCATCTGGCAGTGTATACCTCATTAGCCAGAAAAAGACTTAACCCAGTGGCCCACTAGTTCATAGTTGAGCGCCTAAAACCAATGGGTCACAGCCAATGAATTCACGCATACATCAATGGAAGTATGAATGAAACAAGTAATTTTATTTGATTAGTAGTATGGAATGTTAATTAACAACCACTTACTACGATTCCATACAGTAGGCGATGAGCCACACCTTTAGTGTGTGTTAGCTATGCCACCTGGCTACCCAAACCTAAGTATGTTGAGCGACACCTGAAACCGCGATCCACTGGTTGGGAGCTGAGTGTCCAAACCAATGGGTCACAGCTCCACATTTGATTAGTAGTGACCAGTAGTGGAATCAAGGATGCAAGTTTCATCTCATCTGGGACTTGTCGTCAGAATGTACTTGCATCAGGGGTAAGTAGTGGGACTCAAACCAAGCGTTATCTACTAGATTATCGGACTACTAGCGCCACCTATTATGGAGTAGGTGTCAGTTGTTATTTGATAAAATTCTTTTTATCACTGCACAAGATCCCATTGCTAACCACCACCGTCGGTGGTGTGGTGGTAGAGTGGTTGCCAACTACGTTTGTGATCCGGGGTTCAATCC